ATTAAAATAGCACTTTTGTGCTTAGCTGAATCATGGTGATACCAAAAATAATAATAAAAAAAAAGGACATTTTAAACTTTGTCAGGAAGATGATGTATGAGGATGCTGCCCTCCCCTACAGTAAGGAAAACAACAGAGTAAAAACCAAAGTGTTTACATGCCATTCCGATAGACAACTTTTCTAGGATGTGTTTAGTAAACGTGAAATATTATGTTACATACACATGTTAAAATAGTAATGCCATGAAATAACTTATACTAAGGATAAGAAAAAACAACTTCAATGGTAAATGTATTGTAAAATCACTGGAAGGGCAAATTTATAGAGAATTACTGTTTATTTATTCAGATAATTCTGATTTCAATTTGTAATAATAAAATCAGCTTATAATGTATGCATATGCATTTGTTTTTTTTTTGTGAGGCACCATTGACTTCCACAGTATGAAAAAAAGAATATGAAGTCAATGGTACCCCACAACTGTTTGGTTACAAAAATTCCTCAAAATATCTTCTTTTGTGTTAAGCAACTTGAGGGTGAGTAAATGACGTATTTTTTAGTTTTTGTCAACTATGTCCCATTGACTTCCACAGTATGAAAAAAATAATATGAAGTCAATGGTACCCCACAACTGTTTGGTTACAAAAATTCCTCAAAATATCTTCTTTTGTGTTAAGCAACTTGAGGGTGAGTAAATGACGGATTTTTTTGTTTTTGTCAACTATTTCTTTAAAAGTCAGTTTTAATAACTTAAGTTAGAGCTGCATGATTCTGGATACAGAGAATCCAATTTTTTTTAGTTTCAAACAGACAATTTGATTCTGAACAGACAACTAAAAATAAAATTTAATTTACTAGAAGTTCTGACAAAATGTTAATGCTGCAGTCTATTTAAAATGCTTAATCTGAATTAATTTAAAAAATGGTCTGAATGAATGATTAAATAAGAAAGGAAAACTTGAAATCGCATCATATGACCCCTTTAATACAAACACACAGCTCATTCGGACGCTGCATGGACTTTGATTTCCTCTCACTCACATAAATTATTGACACAAAACATAACTTTACGTTGGTTTGACTGAAAAATGTTAACATAACTTTACATTGGTTTGACTGAAAAAAATTGTGTTACCTGATATCGCCATATGTTTGCAGGACCTCACACATGCAGTCTGCCCCTTCCTCTGTGTTCACACTCCAGCTTCTGTTCTCCGTTGACATGTCACAGCTCATATTAGTTTAAAATAAGAATTTAACAGGCAAATAATCAGGAACTGAGTGACCGAGTTATCTCGCGGATCAGTAGCAAACGCATCACCAAACTGACGTATATTTTCAAACCTGACTAGTAAAAAGGCACGCACTTTTGCCATTGGCCAGTTTCGTGGATGACAGTCAGATTAGCCAATCATGATGAAAGCAACCAGGTGAAACAACCAATTGCAATTGTTTCAGAGTGGTAACGAAAGTAAAGAGGTTTTTTTTTTAAAGAAACGTGTGTATTTTTTAGGCTGTATTATTTGTTTAGTTCAGTGTATGAATAAAAATGTAATAATGAATTGCAAACTGTAGGCACCTACACAAAATTGTAAATCCACACAAAATCTCACTGCTCTTTTGAGATTAAAACTGCATCCATTATAATTATTGTTACTAATGACAATAATTATATTTGTACATATACATTTGGATTTTTGAAGAGGTGTTTTGATCAAAATATCATAAAATGCTAATAAATAAAATATTAATATCATAATTCAAAAGGAAGATATTTCTTGTTATTGACATGACATTGATTCAACATAGATATTTTAAAAAAAATTTTTTTAATGATTTGTTTTTGTTAAAAACATTTTTCAATGATTTAGCATTAAACTTTATATCAACATTGTGTAAACGTTAAAACAGCAACTGACATTATTTCAATCATATTTTAACTTTGAAGGTTGGTCATGTGCCAACTAGACTGAAAAGAAAAGTCTGTACTGCTGGTTCAAAAAGAAAATTGAACACAAAACAATATGCTAACTGAATGAAACTTTATTCTGAACATCTGTGTCATATACTGCAAACACGATTTCTGGATTTTTCCATCAGAAACATGAATTTCAATTCCAAATACACTATAATCCAATTATTTTGATAGATAATTAGCTTTCTGTAACCCATTCTTCATATTGCACAGTGACCATTTTCTGGATATTTTGAACCATTTGTATGGATTTTGAAATAACTATATGGAGATAAGCATGTGCTTTGCACACCATTGCTGATGGCACTCTGGGTTTAATTTGATTTGTACTGTATATTCCAGGGCTTTTCAACTCCTGACTCATGAACTCTTCAACAGTCCTAAATGTACTGACAACTGGACAATTCTCAGAACAACAAGGTTCTACTAGGCAGATGTTAATAACCTTTAATCGAGCGGCTTCAGAACTAAATCTGCCATTTGCTTCATGAAATGATCTGCAATAAAGTATAGACATTCCAGCAAAATGCTTAATGTTCTTAATTTTGTGTGCATAATATATAAGGTGGCATTAATTCTCTTTAAGATCACTTGAAGCCTTCTTTATTGAACAGCTCATGCCTTATGTTTGGTCACATGTTCACTACAAAGTGTGTAGTCTTCTTAAACCAGACATTACATTATTTAGAAACAGCAGCAGTCATATTTAATTTATCACTGTATATTTTTAGATCTGCACACAATGTGCCTGCATAACAATTTAATTGGGCCAAACTGGAGAAATATGCTCTCAACTTAAAGACTTAACAAAAAACAAACAAATATATACAGTGGACACTGTTCCACAAGTCTGAATGTTCTTGCATTAGATACAAAATGGAACTAATTTTGTGATGCCTTTTTGATATTACCTTAAATCAGCTGGTCTGAAGGGAATTTTTTGTGGATGCTGGTTTTCTTCAAGTTCACACAGGTGTCCTATTGGAGTAACCACAGCTGTTGTTAATCACACTAACTTGATTTGTTATCATTCAAAACCAAGAAAGTATTTAAAAAGTGTTTATGTGCTATCTTTCTTTAAAAAAAACAAAAAAAAAAAAAACATTTTATGCAGCATTTTTAAATTAAGGACAGTAAGCAAGCACGTGCACACATAGACATCAAAGGGGGCTTGAGCACCTGCCCTTTTTCTTCTTTGAGAGAAAGTGCCCTTTTCTCTGGGGAGTGTTTTTTAAAAAACTTTTTATTTAATGAATATATGTAAATATGTGCACGTTGTGTGTTTCTGTTTGTGCACGTTGTGTGTTTCTGTTTGCGCACAGCTTTCCCTGTCAAACAAATAAAAAAATCAAAATATCGGGTCAGGTCAGGAAATGTTAAGACTCGCGTCTCTGCAGCACAGCAGTGTTGCACACATTGATCAGCACATCACTGACAGGCAAGAGAGCCACAGAAGTGAAGCCCTCCCTCCCTTTCCAGTTGTGTTCATCTTGGTGTGGAGGTGAGTGGTGATGAACAACAGAGTAAGCTATCTGTGCCTCGAATTTACAGCTAATTATCCAAAAAACAAAAGGCAATTATAGTTAGCTAATTTGTCTTGCTAACATCCATGACTCATGAGAGAGTTATGGGTTAGACCAGTGCGCATTCTTTCACTGCATGATTCAGTTTATTAAAATGCATTTAGAATGATCACAAAATTGAAGATATGGGGGCAGAAATGTATATATTTATATAATTTCATATAGTTAATAAGTATCACGCGAATGTAAGTATGACGTTTTTTTTCACCAAAAAGCAACATGATTACAAATGTGATATTGATTTTATACAGCAGTTCAATAAACAAGAATTTAACATTAAGACACTTACATTTTAGACATAATATTGACTGTTTTTGCTCTATTTCGCCAATAAATATAATTCCAATTTCCGTCTCTGAGCAACATGATGCTGTTTTGTTCCTGAATGAATCAACCGTTTAAATGATTCGGTTCAATCGCAATGACTCACTTATTAACAGTGACTTGCTGCCACCTACTGGCGGTTTTAATTTCACATTTAAAATATCTTTTAATTTTTTAAAATAATTTCAAATATCAGTAGCCTATTCAACGTTTTATGTTTAAAATATCAAAACAGTATTAATGCATTTGTAACTGCAGGTTAAACATTCATGTCCTGCATTAAACAGTGTGTAAATGCATCTAAATGTCCCTTCTAATGCAGCTTCTGTGTTTTCTCTGCATTGCAGATTAAATTTGTTTATACTGATTTCATTTGCTTGGTAACAGCCCAAATTACTTTTTTATTTAATTATTATAATTGACTGATTCAATTTAAGAATTTGACTGAAAAGATGATGCACATTTTATTTTTTTAGAAAAATTGGCTTTATAAAGGTAAAACTGCCCATAAAAGGTAAAAATCTATTTAAACTTATTGGAAAAGATTCATTTCTATCACTGCTGTGAACTGATCACCACACAGAATATGAGGAATATCAAAAACTTTAGGAGTCAGCTGTCTACGGTTGTCCTTAAGATATCAGCACAATAACACACTCAGCAAAATATCATCTAATTATCGTTATCGATAAAATCCCAGAAAATATTGAAATATATTTTTTTGTCAATATTGCACACCCCTAATAGGCTATATTTAACGTTTTGTTTAGAAATAAAAATTTAAATAAAAAAGTGCCCTTTTTTCCACTTGAGCCCCTGCCCCTCAAAATGTCTGTGCAACTGAGTTTAAACTAACATCCCATTAAACTGGAATAAACTGGGCCGGGAAAAGAATGATCCGAAGGGAAAGACCAATTATCCGATCAAGCTCAGAATCTCTGCATTGACCCCACCCTTTCTCTTTTTTTCTCCTCTCTCTTTCACCATCCTTTACTGTAGTAGCCCTTCCCTGCTCTGCTGATCCCACCCTCTCCCACATACACACACAAACGCACTCACAAAGCCCACAAACATGCTGCCAGTCTCGCATACACTCACTCTCTCAGCTCTGCCTCCGTCTGATTGAGTACCTTTTCATTCTTGGGCACTCAGCAACAGTCTCTGACTATCTCACACACACACACTTACTCACACACCCTCTGGAAGGAATCCTGCAGTTTGCGGCTGCAGTGCTCTGGATATGCCGGACCATCTGCTTTGAGGTGGGAAATGGGCTTGAGAGCTTGTGTGTAAGAATCTGTTCCTGATTCATTCTGTAATTTTAGTGTTAATCTGATCAAATGTTGGTCCTGCATTGAAGTTTATTACATCCTGTGATGGTCTCTTTGGAAGTTTCGTACCAAGTGATTTACTAATGCTGTATTTTGGGTATATTTTGAGTAACTGTGCATGGAAATTCAGATTTTAAGTTATAAGTTTAGTGTGCTGAGTCAAATCAAATAAGCAATTATGCATACTTCTACCTACAAGTAAAAGAAGTTGTGAATACTTGTTATAAACTGTATAAATGCACTGGAAGTTGGACATTCATGCTGTGAAATCTTCTTAAACCTGCATGGGCTGATGTGTATTTTGGGGAGATTGTCTTTAGCTTGATTAATTAGTAGATCTAATTGCCTGAATGTCTATGTATTTGCTGGTTCACCAAACCACTTTTTATAGAGAGCTTGCAACTATGCAGTCAGCAGATCCTCCAGCGCTCCGAATCAAACTCTAAACCCAATAACTGCCACAGACATTTCAGTCTCCTGGCATCTGAACTCAGATCTCACACACGCACACACATTCACACGCACATGAGGAGTCACACACTCGTAAATACACAAATACTGTCCTCAGTATAACTCACGGCGGATATCATTACAAATATCTCTTGATACTATAAAATAAAAATATAAGAACTGCTAAATAATTTAGTCACACAACATGTGACGTTGTCACAAGGAATATATGAAATGTGCTTTTTCTAGCAGTGGTTTTGTATGTTAGTTTTCAAAACCATCATGAATGACAATATTTTTTGTAAATTCTGTCACAAGGGTTTTTAAATGTTATAAATGCACACAATTTGCTCATTATTAACTATTCATATTTATTATCTAAAACAATATTTTTAATCATTTTCATGTATAATTATTATTTGATCATTTTATGAACATAAGTGTGATTATATATAAGTTAAAATAATTAAAACATAAACAATTATAAAACAGTTTCATTAATGTTTTATTGCTTTAATTTAATTTTTGTATATTATATATATATATATATATACACACACACACACACACAGTATGCACACACACACACACATATATATATATATATATATATATATATACACACACACACACAGTATGACAACAATATGTTGACTATACTGGCCTAATTTCTCACGCAGTTCTCCGTGCCCAATAAAAACCTGGTCAACCTCAGCTCTTTGTAATAATCAATAACTGCTCAGCTGTAATTCTTATTCATGATACTTTTCCTTCACATCATTTATTCACATCTGACACAGCCTTCACTGACTCTAAAGTGCTTCTCACTCACACTTTCTGTAATTTGATTTGCATATAGTTGAGCTCATCTTCTGTATTGACAAGAATCATTCAGAGTCGTTCTGAGAGTGAATCATTGTGTCCTCATGTCCCAAATTCACCTCTATGTCCTGTTTATTAGGTTTTGTTTGTCTAACAGCTGGTAAATGTCTGATGTTGCTACTCAGTAAATAAGAGAAGACAGATGAGTTTTGTTTCACAACGTGACAGTGAAGGTGCAACCTTCATAACATGACGGGAGCCACCTGGCCCTCAATGTGATTCCTGTCATAACTGTCCACTGAAATCCAAAAATACATTTGTTTAAAGTCAGGAAAGCATTCAGAGCAGTTTCACACTGGGTACCAGGGCTTTATGTGTTTTATGTCTTGACAGTGTGTCTTCAAAGTCCTTTAAATCATCAAAAGGACTTAAAATAGACTTCTATAATTCATGTGTGGTTTATAAAATATTAAAAACAACAACAACATGTACACTGCCATTGGGGTCAGTTATTATTATTTTTTTAATAAATTCAGCAAGGATCCATTAAATTTATCAAAAGTGACATTTATAATGTGACAAAAGATTTCTGTTTTAAATAAATGCTGATCTTTTGAACTTTCTATTTGTCAAAAATAAACCGGTGGTGGACAAAGTAATGTGAACACCCACCCGTTATTATAGAGGTTAATATCATATGTGACCCTGGACAACACAAAACCAGTCATAAGGGTACATTTTTCGAAATTGAGATTTATACATCATCTGAAAGCTGAATAAATGAGCTTTCCATTGATGTATGGTTTGTTAGGATCAATATTTGGCCGAGATACAACTATTTGAAAATCTGTAATCTGAGGGTGCAAAAAAATCTAAATATTGAGAAAATCACCTTAAAAGTTGTCCAAATGAAGTTCTTAGCAATGCATATTACTAATCAAAAATTAAGCTTTTATATATTTACAGTAGGAAATTTACAAAGTATCTTCCATGGAACATGATCTTTACTTAATGTCCTAATGATTTTTGGCATAAAAGAAAAATCTATAATTTTGACCCATACAATGTATTTTTGGCTATTGCTACAAATATACCCCAGCGACTTAAGACTGGTTTTGTGGTCCAGGGTCACATATGTGTAGGGTATAGTGAAAAAACCTTGTGATTGTCTTTTATATATATTTTCGTTTTCTATACTCTCTAGTTTGTATAACAGTGTAGTATAAGTGTTCAGCAGTGTTTAGTACAAGCCGTGGGTGAAATGGGTGAGTTGTCAGACTTCCAAAAAGGGCAAATCATTAGAGCCCATTTAGCAGGAGCGTCTATAACCTTAACAGCCCATTTGTTTAGTGTTTTAAGAATTACAACATGTCAAGACTTTATCATTGAAGAAGAATAGTGGTTAAACACTGAAAGTGACTAATAGGGACCAGAGATCACTGAGAAGGGTTGTACCCAGGGGCGTTGCTAGTGGGGGGAAAAGGGTGACAGAGTGCATAGGGCCCAGAATTCTGATGCCCGCGATCGCATAGCCTACTGGCCATCGGGAACACCGCGACATTCCATTCAGTGGGCTGATCGCCAAAACGAAGGAGACCTCCCTAATATTAGGCGCTGTTTTTAAATTACACTTTAATTTAAAATCTGCCACGATTTAAAAGAGATAAACAGCGCAAGTCGCTTGATCTATTCAGATGTGACACAGAATTGTTATACAGTGGTGTGATATGAGAACATTAAAGGTTCTGTAGTGATGCTGGCTGAAAACAGCCACGACAATGAGGTATATTGGAAAACGCCAATAGGCTTTTCAATTCAGCACCACAGTAATTTAACTTGAAGTTAACACTGTACAAATAGCCTATGTGTTGGCAGAAATGTATTTATTATAAATGTTACTGTTATTACATATTGGGGAATAGGCTATTTTAATTTCATAGAAGCTGTTTTGTAGTTTCTTCATGATTAGTTTTTTTAAACTACAAATTTTATAGTTTATTATTACTTGTTTATTTTAAAAACCATATGTGACCCTGGACCACAAAACCAGTCTTAAGTCGCTGGGGTATATTTGTAGCAATAGCCAAAAATACGTTCAAAATTATTGATTTTTATTGTATGCCAAAAATCATTAGGATATTAAATAAAGATCATGTTCCATGAAGATATTTTGTAAATTTCCTACTGTAAATATATAAAAAAATATTTTTTTTATTAGTAATATGCATTGCTAAGAACTTCATTTGGACAACTTTAAAGGCGATTTTCTCAATATTTTGATTTTTTTGCACCCTCAAATTCCAAATTCTTGGCCAAATATTGTCCTATCCTAACAAACCATACATCAATGGAAAGCTTATTTATTCAGCTTTCAGATGATGTATAAATCTCAATTTCGAAAAAATGTACCCTTATGACTGGTTTTGTGGTCCAGGGTCACATATAACCATGGTAATGAGGACCATGGTTTTACTTCTTGTGACCACCATCCTACTAATACTAGTCAGTTAAACTCTGGATACTTCTTTCTTTTTAGATGTTTAGTTCTAATGAATTTTAATTGAAGTAAAATGTTAATTCAATAAGGGCCTGGTTAAAGATAAATATCAGTGTCTTATATAAATTAGGTGCTTATTATATTCAAATGTGACCCTGGACCACAAAACCAGTCATAAGGGTCAATTTTTTAAAATTTAAATAAAACAATTTAAAAATCTAAATATTGAGAAAATTGCCTTTAAAGCTGTCCGAATGAAGTTCTTAGCAATGCATATTACTAGGGCTGGGTTTTGACACAAATTTCACGATTCGATTTGACAAGCTTGCGATTCGATTCGATTCCCGATTCGATTCGATGTCGATTATTTTGGATATATCAGGTACAGTACATGACAAATTTTCTCATGGAAAAATAATCTCTTAACTAATGCTGTAAAATATACACAAGTCAGTTGGTACTACATTACTATAATATTGAAGGTTAAAACTGACTGATTTTTT